TAATTATTAAGCCAATTTTTATTACAAGGCCTCAGCAGAGGAAAATTCCACATGGTGTCTGTAGGCTTTACTGCGCTGCGGTTTAATACATCACTATGGGAACTTGGATGGAAATGCAACAGTTTCAATATATTTACTGGTCTCCATGTAGTAATTAGTAGACATCTATTTACCTTGGATCCCAGGACCACGTTATCTGAGCATCTCACAACAGCCTGGGAGGCAGGACAGTGCTATTATACTTGTTGCACAGAGGGGGAACTGAGGCATAGAGAAGCTAAGAGACATGCCTAAGGTGACACAGCATGTCTGTGGCAGAGCAGTGAATTATACACAGGTTTCTCAAGTCCCAGAGAAGCACCCTACCCATTATGTCAGGCTGTCCTCATGACAGAGCTGGGTGTGGGTATCCATTTTAAGGCAGCAGGATAAGCTGCAGGACGAGACTTGGGCACACGAGCAGGCTGGGTGTGTGACTTGAACGGTTTATGACGGCATGACATTTGGCATTGCCCAAAGCACTGAGCTCCTCGCTTTCCCAAGTGCTACGAACCACCCAAATGATTGTTGTAGGGTCCTGTCAAATAGACTATCCCAGCCCACAGCACTGGGATCTCGGCACGAGTAGAGCAGCGCTTCCTCTCGTTTTACTGCAGTGGATGCCAATCAACCATGATCATAATTTGTGAACAACAGGCATTATTTGCCGTACCATCTTCCTCCCAGGCAGCGTTTTACAGCATGAATATTATAGCTGGGGAGTCCTGCAATATTTTTACCGATGTCCATGATTCTAGACTTCCACTCATGTAGCACCTGAAAGCCAAAGCACCTCAAGAAGCAGGCATGATCTATTGGGGCCACTACCTAAAACCCCACAGCTGTTTAGGAGGTCCCACAGTAACACTGCAGGGCAGAGAGTGAAAGTTTGTCTTTTATGTCTGCCTTAGAATGGGGAGGTTAGGCTTCATTGACATGATGCCAAAACTCCACGTCTACACTGGCGCGTTCTCACACAAAAACTCTTCCAGAAGAGAGCGTCTGCACTGGCATGTGCTTTTGCGCAAGAGCATCCATGCCAGTGTGGACGCTCTCTTGTGCAAGAAAGCTCCAATGGCCATTTTAACCATCGGGCATTCTTGCGCAAGAAATTCATGTTGCCTGTCTACACTGGCCTCTTCAGGAAGAGCTCTTGCGCAAGAGGGCTTATTCATAGATTTTAAGACTTTAAGGTCAGAAGGGACCATTATGATCATCTAGTCTGACCCCCTGCACAGTGCAGGCCACAGAATCTCACCCACCCCTCCCAGAATAATCCTCTCACCTATATCTCAGATATTGAAGCCTTCAAATACTTGGAAGACCCCAAGATGCAGAGAATCCTCCAGCTGTGATCTGTACCCCATGCTACAGAGGAAGGCAAAAAACCTCCAGGGCCTCTGCCAATCTACCCTGGAGGAAAATTCCTTCCCGACCCCAAATGTGGCGATCAGCTAAACCCTGAGCATGTGGGCAAGACTCACCAGCCAGACACCCAGAAAGTTTTCTATAGTAATTCCTATCATCCTGAGCGGGAGCGTCAGAGTGCTGGTGCAAGAAGCCCCGATTTCATACATTAGAACGTCAGTGTACTTACGCAAGAACACGCGGCCAGTGTAGACAGGCAGCAAGTTTTGGCGCAAGAGCGGCCACTTTGGCGCGAGATCGCACCAGTGTAGACACAGCCCCAGAGATTTCAGTGGTGCAGGGAGGTAAGAAGATATCACAAGCTTTTCATTCTTGGCCTCTGTTTCCTGACTCATATAGAACCAGGCACCTCTCGTAGCAAAGCAAAATGGCCCTATGGACTCAGAGGGGAGAGGACCAGAGCTGGGTTACTCCCAGATTTTCCTTCTTTGTGGGAAATTCTATGAGTTTGAAAAGAAACTCCATTCCAACATGGAACACGAGCAAAAGAAAAGGGACATTTCCTGTGAGGTGAAATTCTGAAAATAATCATTTTGGCTCGATTGAAATGGTCTGATACAATCAAACTGTTTTGTTCCAAGAAGTCATTTCAAAATGGAAAATGGGAAGGATCCATTCAGAGAAGGTAAGAATGTTTGGAACATTCCAGTCTGATTTTTTCCCATGAAATTTGGTCCAAACGGACATTTCTGCGACATTTCATTTGACATGATTCAGCAATTTCCAAAGTAATAACCTTGTATCAGAACATTTTCAGCCAGCTCTAGAGAGATCCCCTTCCAGGGAATCATCTTCTGTCCCCCTTTCTGCCTCGTGCTGCTCTCCCCTGGTTAACTCCTGTCCACATACCAATCTTGCTGAGCTGTTTGCTGGTAAGTATGTCTCACTCATGTACTTCATTATATAGATGCATAGGGCTGGACTGTGGCACAAGGCCACATTCTAATCCAGAGCTGGGTACATTGCAGTTAGGCAATGAGTGAATGGTACATCTAGTTTGCAAAGGGTTCCTTTGGGAAGAAAGGCCAGTGTGAGACACAACTGTTCCCTTTGTATGGAAAGAATGACTTTGCTCGAGGATGGTCTTGTGTTGGTGTGGTTTTATCGCTCCTCCTCCCAGAGTCGGGACGGAATTCCTTGTTTGTAAAGTTGACCATTTCCTTGGCATGTCTAAAGGGCTTTGGCCTGGCGCTGTTGTCTGGACCTTGTGCAGTAGGCGCCCATAGGCTACCCACTGCCTGTTGGTTCAGAATGAAAACTAATAAATAGAGATATTAATCCAGAGGCCAAGATTTCAAATGTGATTTTGGGTGTGTCTGTTTTTCTGGGGGCAGGTGCTCAGTGCTTTAAGGTCTCTTGCATTGGTCATCCTAAATTACTAGTGACTTCTGGTTCTGCGCTTCAGTTCTTTCTAGTCCTCATTTGGGGCTTGACCCAGTAACCAATTAAGCATGTGTAATTACTCACATGGCTTTGAGGTCAGTGGGTAAAATTGTTCATCGTCATAAGTACTGGCAAGATCTGTCCGTTAGTGACAGATTTCTCCTCCGATTTTTTCATGTAAAGCAATTTAAAAAAAAACCAACAACACGGGATGCTGAATTCTTTGTTTAGTGTCCCCAATCATATCTCAGGTTGCATGTTAGCAAAACTTTCTGGGAAGCAAAAGACACAGAGAGGAAAATGACAAACCATATAGCATATGCTGCTTTCCCATCAATGTTGCTCTTTAGATGTACTTTCTTTTCTGGTTTAGTCGTACAGCCCAGCAGTGTATCAGAGTTCTGGGAGGGATGGATTGTACTGGGAAAAGCGGAAGTGTGAAGATGGCTGGTGTTCTGGATGTTAAATATCGGTTAATTGAATAGTCGAGTCACCTCATTAATTCTTTTCAGTTAGTTGATTATTCTATCGTCTCCATGGGTGGGGCTGGCAGCCAGTGCACTCTGGCATCACTCCTGAGGAGCTCCCTGCACTCCACGCTGCTGCCTCTGTATCAGAAGCAGCAGTGCGGGGTGCCAGGCAGGAGTTGGGCTGGGAGCCAGTTTAAAAACCAGCTCCCCTTGCAGGCCGGCTGCCTGTCCAGCAGTGTGGGGTGGCAGCAGCTCTTGTCTGGGGGGTGCTCCTGGACCTGGCACGAGCCGGAACTGAGCTGGGCTTCCTGCCTACCCAGCTCCTAATACACTTTAAATGCAGAGCTGCAATGGGGTAGGTCCTGGACCTGTTGGAAGCCAGGACTGCAAAAAAAGGTATTGGGGGGGGGGGGGGGGGGGATGCATGTAGTCTATAGCATTCATCTAGAAGCTTTTGCTAATCGGTTAATTGACTACCCTATTACATCCCTATCTGGCACCTACGAACATGCTAGCTAACTGTGGTATCGTTCTCTCTTGAGCGTGGGACCACGGAGGAAAAGATCTGCTACTACCTGAAGAGGTAACTTTAGCTCCAGTTGTTGTGGCTGGTGCTTTTGGTGCCAGGCTGTCGCCAGCCTTGCTTTCACAGAAGCCTTGCTATGAGCTAGAGAGAGCTTTGCTACTCCCTCCCTCCCCCTTTGCTTCCAGGCATCATTTACTTGACATCCAACTCCTTGGGCTGAAACACTTCACGCTTGGCCTGGGGCCAGAAGGAAAGAGGGTTTGGAGTTAAGTGCATTTCAGCAAAGACCCATTTGAGAAGTGTCCAGCGGCGAGGGAGAAGGAAGGTGAGGATGGGAAGAGGCAGGGGGCAGGGACTGGAGAGTTGGGCTCTACAGCGAGCTGGGCTGGGACAGAAATCCTAGCCCATGGCCAATAAAGGAGAAAGCCACCCCAATAAAGTGCAGGGTGTGAGGACCAGCCTCTGGCCAGGCAGATCTCAGCCGCAGCAGCCAAGAGTATTTTTGGGAAGGTTACACTGTTCTCCCCCTCCCCCATTAACCAGCTGTGGAAGGTCAAACCTTTCCAGCCATAGAAGCTTTGCCGGCAGCTCGCCCTGGGAGCGTGCCCACACATCATAGTGCCTGGGCCCCCCGTGACGTGCAGTCCTTGTGCTTTCCACTCCCCCCCGCAAGGCCCCTCTGCTCTTGCGTGGCTCCGGGTCGCGTTCTCCTGGCTGGCGGGGGTGAGCCGGGCGTGCTGTGCCGCTGCTCTGAGGAATCGCTGCCACGCAAAGGCCCAGGCATGTGCCTGCGTGTTGGCACGTCTCAGCCCGTGTTCTGGCCACCCTGAAGGCGGATACCCTGGAGCTGTGTCTCTGAGTCCAATGGGCGGAGGCTTTGGCTCTGCCGCCATCACTTCCGTGCGACTCTGAGGCCAGGTCTATACCAGACCCAGAAGGTCTGCTGAAGGAACCTGACGCCAGCTGTGTAAATAACGTCGCGGGAGTTGATGTACCTGACACCGTCTGCACAGCAGGAGGTCGACGGGAGCAAATGCTTCCTGCCAGCTTCCCTCCCTCCTCATGCGGGAAAAGCTTAAACCGCACCGAACAGTCCTGCAGCACCGGGCAGACTTTTATTGAACCCCATTAGAAATGCTGGAGACAAAGCAGGGTTTGGGGTGCAGTCTGACAGCTCGTGACTCCCCTCCACGCAACAACCCTGTGATGCCCTGAGGGGTCATGTCCCCCCCGTCGGAGAACCGCTGCAAACGTCTGATGGAACACGGTGGTGGGTAACCCATGGCCCATTGGGGTTCTCTGCGTGGCCCGCGAGACCTTTTATTTATTGTTGCCCACGCGCAGGGTTGCTAGATTCCTCTGATTTCTGCCCGTGTCATATCTCGGGAGACTGGCTTGGTTAGAAGAAATTAGCGGCCTGCAGGCCACTCGTGTGGCCCACTCACTAGCCCAGGTTGCCCCTTGCTGCCATAACGTGCATAAGAGCAAGTCAGGCCACGAGGCCAAAGCAGACCCCAGAGCAGCCTGGGTGGGGCTGTGCTTGGAAGGCCTCACTGCTGAGCCTCCTAGCGGCGGGAGCAAAGGCGAGCCTGATGCACCGGGGGTGAAAGTGGAGTGAGCCGGGCGTGAGGGGGACGGTGTCGCGGCGCCGCCTCTGGTTGCATAAGCCCGACCGAAATGGGAGGTGAAATGCGATTGCCGAGGATTAGGCGGGACCGGCTCAAGCCGCTTGCTTCCTTTCTAAAAGGGGCTCTAAATCCTTTGCTGTTTTCTTCGCGCCTCGGATTAGACAGCTCCCGTCGAGCCGGGTGACTGAGCAGCACCCCGGGCTGGGCTGGGCTGGGCTGAGGGGTGTGAAGAGCACTGCCCGCGGGCAGGCTTTGGCAGACCCCTTGTGCAGGCCTCC